TCACTTCTCGTGTTTCTTTTTTTTTTTGTTCCGTATGTAACACATCCGAATTTGTTGTCGATTCGATATGTCAACCTAAAGCCTTTTGATATCAGTTTGTTATCTCTTGCTTCACATAGAAATGATATGTGTTCTTCTTTGCTGATTTTGATTCTGTTGTTCTTGCAACCTGGAAATTTATGAAATGTACCACTTCTATACCGGAATTTCCATGTACGTTCAAAAGAAGTAGGTAATGTGGAATTATTTGAAGATTCTGCAATTTAACTTACTTCATTTTCAATATATGATCAATTATGTATTTAAAATAGTGGTCAGTGATGTGAGTCAAAATTATATCTTGGAATAATTCCACGTTACTTGCTGCTATCAAATAAACATTCCTTTTGGCCCATTTTGGATAGACAAGCCTAACGTTATGTTCTCTCCCTCGAAGTAAGCTTTTCGCACCTTCATCAGATTTGCGCGCTTTATCTGATCTCGGACATGCCAATGTTATATCATTCTATATGGTTAAGTTCCTATAGGTGAACAAGTTGAAACTTGTAACATGCTAAATGGTACTGTTTTTCTTTTTCCCATATATTATTTTATAAATTCAATTATCGCCTTGAAAACTGACAGTCTGGTTGAAGAACCAGTTTGGGTACTACACTTTCCGTTAGCTATTTTTTGAAGGGAAGCTCTGCTTGTTCAGCTGGTCCTTTTCTTCGTTCCTTTTAAATTTTGCCGTTCGCCCTGAAAGCTCAACTCTGGCCTGGGGGGCAGCCATCTTCCTCAACTTTTATTACCGTTCTCGTGAAGAAAAGTACCTTATCGGCAATCAGGCATTAGCTTGGCGAAATAAAGTTGCGTAAGGCAAAGTTCCGTTGATTACCGAAAGAATTCAAATCAAAAGTCTCGTGATTACCGTTTCATTCAAGTTTGAATTTCGAACCCCCTCGTGGTAAATCCTTTTTAATTTTTTTTAAAAGTAATGATTGCTCATGGAATGCCTCTATCACTTAGGATTTTCCGAGGAGCCGTTTCTGTCGAAGAAGCTGTTTCCAACAAGCCACATTTCTTAAGATCACCGTTTCCGTGGAGCATGGGCATAGAGTTTTTGAAAAAATTTCCTAGAGGAATCAAGTCTCTCACGTGTTAACACCTGTACCTCCACATTTGACGAAAACTGTGAACTTCTAGCCTCTATCTACCTTGATTCAAGGCTAGAATCTGCAACTTCCTTCGTCAAGTGACAAAAAAATGATGGCTACCGTACTCTACCTTCTTGTCGGAATTGAGGCTTCTATATGATCAATTAACAAAATCAATCGAGTACTTTTTCGTGATATGACATTTGAATATTTAAAATTTCAATTTCACATTCTTGACACCGAAGTGAACTTTAAATAATTATTTCCAATTTTTTATTTGACATAGGTATAGAGTTTATCTTTACTTAACTTTTAGTACCGCCATATTTAAAGAATGTACTTATATTTTATCAACAATAACCAGTAATCTGAACTGAAGTCAAGGTTGGACAACATGTTCTAAATTTAAAATTATTGAGTAAGTACCTACATCGTCGAAAATTCATCAATTTTTAACTTGGGTCCTATAACTTATATATTTGGGGATGTCTATTATGTCTCCCTATTTAACCCAACTTTTTATTTCATACAGGTGCAATTTGATTTTACTGAATTTATTCTTTAAGCAGAAGCTGACCATATTAATCAATACAATTTTCAATCATTCATTTTTTTTTTTAAATTAGTTTTCTGGAATCTTAAATCTTTTATATTTTCATTTTATGATAATGATATGGCCAGCGATTGTTAATGAACTTATATGGCAAGTATATTGATGTACAGGGTGGTCATTTTAACTTGATAACATTTTAAACTGTCATAATTTCTTTATTTTTGAAGTTATTCCAATAAATAAAAAAACATACTATAGTTGTTGTTGTTCAAGTTTTAGATAAGATGGACAAAAAACAAAAGACTAATATATTTTGACAGTTATGCACACAAATAGTATTTTTTCAAATGGAACACCCGTAAATTTTGGTTTGTTTGATAATATGTTTCATTCTGATTGTAATGAACAATTATGATAGTTTAAAATGTTATTAAAATAAAATAACCACACTGTAAATTTTAATATTATTTTTTTTGCAGTTTGATGAATCTGATTGAGAGTTAACCTCTATCTATTGATTTTATGTAAACTGTTTTACTAACAATTGATTTTATCTTTTTGAATTTTTGAGCTTGATTTTCAACCTCACTGTAAATCTGATGTCGATATCACTGTGAAAAAAAAAATACTATTTTGATTTGAAAATTGCTTGATTGTTTTATTGGTTTACCTATGTCAAGATTAGGTTGAGTTGTATGCCTTATTTATTTCCTTCTCAGAATTATCAATTACCGTTTGAAATGTGTTTCTTAATTTTCACACTTCAATATTTTATGTAATTTGATTATTTATTTTTTTAAATTCAGTGGCGCCCTTGCCAATCTGTACTTATAGACCGTCAGATAGTGACATATTTAGGTGTCCCATTTTAGCATACAAGCCTCGAAGAGGGTTAAAAAGTACATCGATTTTAAGTAGGATGAAGGTATTTTCACGAGTGGCTCCTGGGGATAACATACGGGAAATTCGATTTTACTTATGTAACCATAAAATGTACTTTTCCATTCGCGACACTCAAGACAATATGTTTTTTTGCTACCAACTTAGTAGATTTTCATCCTTCCGATGGGCTTGTGTGAAAATATCGCCCAAAATATCGATTTTTCCTCACAAGATTACGCCCTTATTTCAAACCTTTAGTCACCTACAACACCCCCTTCTTTGTTTCCACGAAGCCAGGTTTTCTTATTTAATCCTTTGGTGAGCACGGCTTGTGAGAAAATATGGGCACCAGGACAACTTTCATTACTGTTATGGAAAATCGAATTTTCCATATGTTATCCCCAGGAGCCACCCGTGAAAATACCTTCATCCTACTTAAAATCGATGTACTTTTCAACCCTCTTCGAGGCTTGTATGCGAAAATGGGGCACCTAAATATGTCACTATCTGACGGTCTATTATGAAACTATTGACCCACCCCTAATGATTATTCGCTGAGCAATCTGAGCATATCATGGGCCTCTTGTTAATTTTCGGGGGTTACAGAAGTAGCGTCCAGTTTCATTGTTTGCATGTTTATCCTCCTTGGGTCTTGGCCATAATTTTACGCGGGGGAACAGATTAACTGCAAGGATGTAAGAATAATTACCCCCCTTGATGAGAAATGAGAATAATCCTACGCTCGCTTCAGCTGATACGCTCTTCTGAAGCAGAGCCCGCCACCGGAAGATCATAGATAAGAATCTGTCCATTACCTACGAACCCTTCAAATTTGTTGTGATCCAAAAATGAAAGTTCAAATGTAAAAAAAATCTAAGAATGAATATTTAAACTGCATCTTGTTACGATGAACCGTTTTCGAGGAAGGGTGGTTTAAAGTTACGAACTTATAGGTTGTGACGTCACACCGGCTTTGGAGGCACAGTATTAACACGTGTAACATTTTTCCAAAACAAAAGTCAACGATCTCACTGACTGCGAATTGCAACCACTCATGTTATTGGGCATGGCTCACTGCGGACTGAATAAATAGAAGGCTGCGATTTCGGCGGTTAGACGGTGTGCCGTCACAAGTTGCCGCATAATTTATCTTCATAAGGAATTTTATCGGAAAATATTTCGAACATAGGACTGCGGTTTTCACGAGAGATCTTAGATTTTTTTTCTTGATTTAAGTAGTAAGTTGTTTCTTTGGGCCACACGCCCCTTAAGTGCGGCTAGATCAGTGGTTTGTGAAGTCCTTGTTAGTTAACAACAACCATAAATTGATATTGTTTTTGTGTGGCACAATCTGAGGTTATTGTTGGCTAACAAAGTTAACCAACGATTTATCGAGCCGCAGTATAAGTGGTTAGTTTCATTTATCAAGTACTTAGCCTGAGCTGCTATTTTCAGCTGTACCTACTAATAATTGTAAGTTCTATTACACTAATCATATTAACTGTAGTTGAAAAATAATTCAGTACATTCTTGAAAACCATTTGCTATCGCAAGATAAGCGTGGGTGTATTATTATAGCAAATGCCTCGTTTCATAAAAAAATACTTAAGAAGTAGAAAAAAATCCACAAAAAACACTTGGACACGTAGCGACCGACGTTTCATGTAATAATTTATGAACTCGTAAATATACGCAACAGGAGGTGGCCCCGGCAAATTTTCCAAATATTGCACGAGCTGCCGCCCTCCGTCAAAAAGTAATAAATTTAGCTCAAGCTCCCTTACAGCAACCTGCGTTTTTCGCCCCCATCTTGAAATCAACCGCACATTAAATCATTTCGGCGTCCCCCAAATACATAAAAACTCACATTATTTATGGTTTTTTCAAACTATTTCAATGATATAATAATTCGGAGAATCCTAGGCACGTTTATCAAATATGTCGGCGGGCCGCAAAGTACCTGTTTGCGCCCTAATTTTCGGGCGCAATTTGATGCTTTTCGGCCCACCCACCAGGCCACAAAGTGCCACTATGATGTTGGTGTCTAAAATTGAATAAATACTGACACAAATTGGTTATTTTTACTCTTCAAAACGAACCAAAATGAATAAATTGAATGTTTGTTTAGTTGGTAACTGCAGCTTCTACTGGTAATTTACGAATAACCACCAGATTTTTTTATTATTTGACTTTAAAAGTGGGTGTGTTCTTTGTTTATTGATAATTTTTCTAAATTATATTTAAATTAAAACATAATTATTCGTGGTGGTACATATAATTTTGTATTTTGTACCACAATGTACCACAGGCGCAAATAATAATAATAGTGTTACATGCGGCGGGCTGCAAACACCCTAATTGCGCCCCATTTACTATTTTCTGCTTTACCATAATGTGATCTTCAGTAACGTTTTATTTTGTATTTCCAGAGAATGGGTACCGTCCATGGTGAAGAACTACCCTACATGTTTGGAGCTCCTTTAGTGGATGGATTCAATCATTTTCCAAGAAACTATACCAGATCGGAACTCGCCCTGTCGGAATCTTTTATAATTTTTATTGCAAATTTTGCAAGAACTGGGTAAGACATAATATATTTATATTTTCAGTTAAACATATAAAAAAAAAATAGAAATAGCTAGGACGCCTCTGTATTCCACGTTCATATATATTATTATTATAATTCCAACTTGAACATATTCTCGAAAGCTCGTATCAAGATGTTCCCAGATGCGGGTCATTTACTATGTGGCCTGTAAGCAAAGGTCAATAAAGGTGGTGCTTAGAAGTTATGCCCTATATGGCACGCTATATTGCACTTTAACGATAAGAAGTTTATTTTACGGCAGATGGGATACGTGATTTTCGGTAATGGAGATGTAAATGATTTGGGTAAAGTTTGCTGCTATAAGTTTAGCAATTTACACAGAAGCTCTAAACAAATAAAAGCTAGAATACCTACAATTATATACAGGAGTGCTGAAATATGATCCACTCTTAGGGAAAAATATTGCGCAAGGATAGAGAGAGGAGTTAAGCTCAACAGAATACTGAATACTACTCCATTTATTGGGATGAACTCAAAAATGTCAAACTTCATATCAGATCGGTCGTGAGTAAGGATGTCCTCCTTATTGCTTATGAACTTTCTTACTCTCCGCACTTTATCTTTTTTTTTTTGAAATTTATTGAGCAGTTACCTTAATTTATTCGAGCTTCTGCTTGATAACTTCAAGTAGTTGTTCGATCAATTCCTTTGATTTTAGTTATAATATCCCTTGTTTCCCTCGATTAGATGTCTACATTTTAGTGGAAAAACAACTTCTGTTTCCTATAAGAAATTGTCCTTCAAAAAGGCATAATGCTTTTTCTAAAAAAGTTACATCCCCCTTGGGAATAAGTCAATAAAAACCTAGACACGCAAATTAGTCTTTTATCCGCACTTGTTGACCTACGAGGATAGAGATTGCGTCTACACCCTGTTGCAAATAAAACCAGTTGTTTGATACTTTGACAAGAGAACTTATAGGGTCGTGGAATTCAAAAAATTAAGATAACGTGTGGCCCCTTTTATGTGCAAATGAAACCACTCAAAATCCAACAAACAATAATTTTATTTGATTTGTTTACAATATAGTAACAATGTTACTTTTATGAAAATTTGACAGTTGACAGCTTGGTTGTTCTTGTGAATCTGACACATGCACCTTTCCAATCCGAAGCTTTCCAATAGATGTTGGGTTCCACTTTCGTGAACTGGAGCTCTCCGTGTTGTTTCCTATATCCAGGAAAGAGGATAGATTGCTGGGGTGACGTCACTCCAGCTGATCCAGACTCCAAACAGTGATCTTTTATGTCCAGTAGGTACCCAGAAAAGAATAACGCAGTATTAGGTTCCCTAAGATTTAGAATATTAAATCCCTGAATTCTGTCAAAAAGCGAGTGTCTTGCAAAGAAAAAAAAATATAAATAAATGAAATTAGTTTATTATAAGACCATTGTTGTGCAGACACTCCTGTCCAACAGAATCAAGTATGAGCAACTATTGCAAATTGAAAAAAATATTTAATACAAAAAAAAAAACAATTAAATAATTAAAAATAATCATAGGATAATAGTGAAATAGGTAATAACAGCAAGATTAAATTAAAATGCTCGTTAAAAATTGAGCAGGGTGCTGCTTTTCTGGCAGTAGAATAAACAGGCAAGAATAAAAACAAATTCCTATTTTAAAAATTACACCCTTTTTCAACACTCTTCTCGTCGAGAAGATAATAATTGACGGAGTCAAACAGAAAATGGCTATACAGGCCTCTGCTTGGATTCAATAAAGAGTTGATAGGGATTGACACACAAATTAGGTTTTCACCGAGTCTATCTAGAGCAAATGGTCCAATAATCCCACACTAACAATTGATTCTGAAAACCAGAGCAGCAGTACCTTTTTATTAGTCCAAAAATCTGAATTGACTTACCTCAGAAAAACATGGAACCACCTATCATCAGAATTAGATAAAAAATTAAAATATAATATTTATATTTCAAAAGTAGAGAAGATAAGATTTATCAGGTAAAAACTCAACAGTGATATGGTAGTATACACTTATGGTAAAATAAATTGGAAAATTATAAGAGAGAATCTAGAAATCTGAAGGAAAAAACTACAAAAATCAAATTTGACTTGCCTGCTAGAACACTGCCAGAAGAAGAGACCGTTTTAGAAACCAAACCTTACAGGAAACCAATCTTGTGTTTTTTATACTCAACTGCGTATTAACCAGATCAACCAATCAGGAGGCTACACTGAACAGACACAAAAAACCGTGCTCACTTAATAAATGAAACACCACGTGGATTGAAAGAGAATAGATAAAAATCCTCTAGAATTATTTCAATTGTTTACAAATTACATTAATTTAAATTAAGGTTATGTTGAAAACAAATAACCACTAATTAATTGGGTCAATAGGCCAAAAATAATAATTTCAGAAGTTAGAGAAAGACAGAAATGTATCCATTTGCTAAAAGTGAGATAAACATAATTTCTTTAAATAAAAATACAAATGACTGTCAAATGCGAAATAATTAAAATCATACTTTGAAAAATAAATCTATCAGGTACTAGATGGTTGTACTGATACTATATTGAGATAATTTTAGATTACTTAAATTATGAATTATTATTTCGCTGATTCTGAAATGGCAAAAATACAACTTTATAATAAAAATAAGAAAAGATGGAACACGTTACGTAAATGATAAATTTATCGTAACAATCCCGCAATGAAAAAGTCAAGCAACCCAAAATAGTACCTGAGGGTGTCAACTTTTGGCCGGAGGTCCAAAGTTTATATGAAGGTGCCATTAAGGGTGATCAAGAGATTACTTACCCAGCGTTATCTTAGGCATGAAAATCGATATCGATTCCTCAGCACAAAAACAATTGACTGAATATTATTTTTTCACGATAAAAAAATAGGTTTTGACAGTTTAATTTTTATAGAGTATAATAATAGTCACGGTATGGTATCCCAACACCTCGAAAATTTAAATGTTTAAAAATATTTACTTAAGGAAAATATATTCGGATTTGAATAAGCAAATGGAGTTGTTGGAAAGCGGGCGTCTTGAACAATGTCGACAGTAAAGGGGAAGTCGTCGGAAGTACGGGAGTTAAAGCTCTTTAAGCATTTGACTGCGCGACATCAATTTGCTTTTAGTCGCGAGATAAATTATAATTTCTAAAGGTATGCATATTCTGACGGAAGATGAAAATTAAGTGTCGTGTGAATAATCAATTTAATTGTGAAAACATGCAGATTTTGAATAAACTATTAAAGCGAAGCTTCGAATTTCGTCAATTTGCTTAATTTAGGCAAACATCCTTTGAATTGATTGGACAGGACCGTTTTTGAAATTTGATTACTCCCAAGACAATTTACTCCAGCTTTAAGTACAATATTCTCCACTCACTACGCTAGCGACTCAGCTGAGATATCTCGATTTGGAGAGCTTAATGAACAATTACTAGATTAAGCTAATTTCCTATCTGAGCCAGTGGTCTGGTAAATTTGAAAGGCTTTGTAGCTATAAAAAAACAATGTTTGATTAAAAGATTTGCGAAAATAAACGTAAAAGTGGCCAATTCATAAAATACCTGATACAAAAAAAATTTTTAGACATATAAGGCTTTAATATCAAATTTTGAAAAGGATAATAGATTTCCTACAACGTCAGCCTTTTTTTTTCATCCATTCATTCATGTACCGAAACAAGCAGAGCAATAACAAAATGCCACTCAAAAATCTACCAGCCAGATAAAGGTTTCCCACAATTTGAATGATCTGAATATTGAAAAAACTAGCAGCGGATGAGTATGCCCCTGAACAAGAAGAGTTATGTTTCACTTTAAAAGGCTTTGCATTAAATAAAAACATTATGAAATGAACGGGGGAAAAATAGCAAGTAGTCTGCCTCCATTAAAAGAGATATACATAGGTACGCTGTGGAAATTTCATTATCAGGGCAAATACTAAAAGGTTTGAAATTGTATAATGAGAATAAAGCTGAGATTAAACTCACCAAGTTTTTCCTATAGAAAATAAAATTATGCATTGATGCATTCCTTGCAAAACGTCTAAATTGATAATGCAAGATTTTTGATTTGATAAAATATTTATGGTAATTTCGATTGTCTTCCATAAAGGACGATGGCTTGAAAAGTTTATGCAATTTGGTAGTTAAGCATTTGCGTTCATTAGGAAACTAAAGAAACTTAGAACGATTTATTAATATCTCACTTAGCTTTAAAACTCGATTAAAGTAGTGTAAAAGAGTTGGAAAGCGTTCAAATAAAAAAAATTGAACTTCCACATTGAAAAAGTTTAAAAAGTTCATGAAAGGATAAGCGCATTGTTTGAAAACGTTAGTACATTCTTAGAGTATGATAGTTTGAGGAAAATGTATTCGGAGGTCAACCGAATTGGTATAAACATGAGCCATCCTTTACAGCGACTTAACTTACTGTAAAAAGTTTTTGGACTTACCCGTAGATTCTAGGGTTTTTTTAGGGTTCTTCATTTCTTATTTCTTATTAAAAATTTCAGCTCCAAATTTAGAGAATTTAAATGAGGCTTAATATTTCTTATTTTGTTGGATTATAACAAGAATTTCGATAATTGAACCGGTAGTGTAACGAAGTTACCAAACTTTACCTCTATACTGTGGCTTTATGAAATTACAGTGTCGCGTACCGTACCAATAGGCAAAGTAATAATAATTATGGTTTGTATAATTTCCACCAAGAACTCCGCCCGGTAGCTTGGACTGCTATTCCGTATAAAAGAATGTCGCCTTGTTGCTTACCGGGTATTTTTTTTTTGAGAACTGCTATAAGGATTTGTAGTCAAACTGTCGCACATCCTGGCAATAAATAGAGTACTTATATGTATAAGTTTTACTAAGAACTTCGCCTGGTTGCATGGTCGGGTAGTTCGCACAGTTTCCGCTCAGTTGCGTGGACGAGTATTCCGTATGATAATGAGTGGGCCTGGTTAGTGGAACCAATCTAGGGTTGAGAACTTGA